CCTATTATCCCAATTTCATCAATAAGAAAACTAAAATATAGAGAGGTAAGTTGCCTAAGATCACAGAACTAGCAAGAAGAAAAGCCAGGATTCAAACCCAGGCATTTGACTGCAGAGTCCACTTGTTCTAACAAGTTATATTACCTCCCTGTTCCACAAATATATAGCCAAATCAGTAACTGCTTGCGTGGAAAGACAAAGTCTGGGGTCACAAGAGCACCAACAAGCCCCATTCAACACCATAGAGTCAAAGGGGAGGTAAGATTGAATGAGAAGAAGTACAAGCGATCTTTACAAGAGCAAGCTGTCAGGCTGGCACGGTGGCTCACGCCTGTAATCCTAGCACTATGCGAGGCCAAGGGGGGCAGATTGCTTGAGGTCAGGAGTTCGAAACCAGCCTGAGCAGGAACGGGACTCCGTCTCTACTATAAATAGAAAGAAATTAATTGGCCAACTAATATTTATAGAAAAAATTAGCCGGGCATGGTGGCGCATGCCTGTAGTGCCAGCTACTCAGGAGGTTGCGGCAGAAAGACTGCCTGAGCACGGCAGTTTGAGGTTGCTATGAGCTAGGCTGATGTCACGGCACTCTAGCCCGGACAAGAGTGACACTCTGTCTCAAGAAAAACAAATGCTGGACAAATTATACCACGAGACAGAAGCAATAATGAACAAACACTTCATGATGGAGTCCGAGAAATTCAAGAAAATAGTCTTCTCTAAAATAAAGGCTCCAGAAAAGGGAAGAGAATAATAAAACAATTTTTTAGAAAACAAATCCTATTGGAATCAGCAAAATGAATAACACTGCTGAAAGCATAGAGACAAAAAGGACAGACTAGTGAAAATTAAGCAAAATGAAAATAAAAGGGTTGAGTACTTATTATGTTTTGTCTTTTAATGTTTTGTCTTAGTAAATCTTCATAACAATTCTTTGAGGTAGACACATTATCACCTTCATTTTCAAAACAAGGAAGCTGAGGCTTGGAACTTCAAGAACTGACCCATAGTTACACAGAGAGTAACTGACATGCAAGGATTCAAACCCAATCTGGCTCCAAAGTCTGTACCTATGTGCCTCCCATGGAAAAAATCAAGTCTTTAAAAAAGACTAGAAACAAAGTGCCAGATACCTAGAGAACAAAGGTGAGCTAATATATGCATAACCAAAGAGAACAGAAGAGAAAAGGGAACCCAAAACAATATTTAAAAGATAGGCCAGGCGTGGTTCCTCCCGCATGTAATCCTACCACTCTGGGAGGCCCAGGTGAGTGGATCATCGCTAAAGGTCAAGAGTTTGAGACCAGCCTGAGCAAGAGCAAGACCCCGTCTCTACTAAAAATAGGAAGAAATTAGCTGGACAACTAAAAATATATAGAAAAAATTAGCCAGGCATGGTGGCGCATGCCTGTAGTCCCAGCTACTCGGGAGGCTGAGGCAGTAGGATCACTTGAGCCCAGGAGTTTGAGGTTGCTGTGAGCTAGGATGATGCCATGGCACTCTAGCCCAGGCAACAGAGACTCTGTCTCAAAAAAAGAAAAAAGAAAGAAAAGATATACACAAAAAGTTCTTACAATAAAGCAAAACCTAACACTGCAGAAAAATGGGTACACAGAGTCCCAGGAAAAACTGATAGAGAATGATCAACACTGGAACATATCCAGAACAGGCTCTGGACTTGAAAGAAATTCTATGAGCAGCCAGGCCAAAGGACAAAGAATCAAGTCACTGATGATGGGAACAAAAATCAGGCTGACTTCTTCACAGTAGCATATAATACTAAAAGACAATGAAGCAATGTCTAAAAAGTCCTCCAAGAAAGAACATTTGGCGTGAAGTCCAAGACTGATCTGGTCATGATATCTTGGAAGTACAAGGTAAGTATGCAAGAACTCAGAGCCATCATACTCCTGTGCCTTACTTTAAATCATGGAAGATTAGGGCCAATTCTTGACCAACATTTTGAGAATAAATAAATACTTCTACACTAATACATATTTTTTCAGATGGTGCAAAAACAAACCTAAGCTTAATTATTACAGATTGCTAGTTTTGATTAGAGAAATCCTGAATGTCTATTCATAGAAAGACAACAAGAAGATAGTGAAATATAAAGAAGTCCACCAATCTGCCTTAAGTTATATTCAGGCTGAGGAGCTAGACACCAAATCCATGCTTCTAAGCTTGGGGCATCAGCTGCTACCCAAAGATATTTAATTAATGAAAAGTTTTCAAAGAATAAGGAAGAAGGCACTGATTTCATAGTACATCAATATAAATGAGCTTTCCACAGCTATTACTTTTCCTCTTAGGAAGACTGAGGATTAAATGGCATTTCCAACATGGTATAGAGGAAAACAAATAGGAAAGTGATGCAATTATACCATTCCCACATTTTTCCAGGAAAATATACTAAAACATATACTATACTATAGCATATACTATACACTATACAACTAAAGGGAAATAATTCATATCATGGATCAGTTTATCCAGGAGCACATAATTACTCTAAGTTACACATCATAAAACAAACCATAACAAATCATTATGCTCTTGATAGCTCTTCGGTGTTTGACATTCAAACTTTAAAACAGCCCAAAAAACATAATTACAAGACAAGAAGTACGACAGGCTTTATGAATGTCACATTGTCCTTTTGTTACTAATTAACCTCATTTTATGTACCTGAGCCAAATATCTTTCCATCCTGAGCTTAGTGAAAGGGTTTGGGGAAAAAGAAAATGCATTCCTAGCAACTGCTCTTTCATCACCAGGTTGTTGAGATCTGTCATTAGCTCACTATTACATCAGGCCTTCCTTCAGGTATCACATTCATAGATGATCATGGTGCTAATGATAGAAACAGCTAACACTTATTGATAATAATTCACATGTCAGAGATTAATAGACCTCTTTAGTCCATCCATCTCTTTTACTATTCCAAATAATCCTAGGTGGTAAATACGTAGTAGAGTGTATGTCATATAGTGAATGTTCCATAATAATACTATTATTACAGATCAGTAACTAATCAGGTGAAGACTGGATTTGAACCCGAGCCTGACTCATGCTCTTAGCCACCACTCCATTCTGCTTTCCTCACTCATGAAAATAGCAAGGCTGTTAACTAAGGGAACATGACACAGTAGCCCAAACAGGATAACAGTCTCACAGCCTCAATTACACTTCTACTTAATATAAAAGCTAAAAATTATATTTTGGGTGGAGAAGAGAAAGGGCAAGAGGGAGACAAGAAAAAGTGCAAGTGGTGAAAAAAAAAAAAGAACTCACAACACACAAAAAAACATATGCTTACTGTTTCTGGGCTTTAAAAAGTGTCAAGCATACTTCATTGCTCAGGACCAAGCTGCCTTCCAAAAAGGCCCAAGGACTGGGCTGTGGGAATCCTTTATCTATCCTATCAGCTGACCAAGTTACTACACCTGAATCCACCAGGGAGTAATATTGCCACACCCTCGGGACAAGAGGACACAAAAGAGCTCAAGAGTTTTTAAAGCAAGATTTTCTAGCATTCTCATCCTCAGGGAATAGCAATGACCTATGCTGAAATAAAACAAGGACACTAAAAGAAAAAAAAGAAAGAAAGAAAGCTAAATATGTCTGACACTTCATTACCCCTTTGGGAGGATATCACTCTACACAAAGGATATACAAGGCTACTCTTTTCAAAGTAAATTAATCCTGCAGGTAAGGGGACATCTCTCCCATTTAATCTCAATGCTAAACACATATTCCAAGACAGATATTATCAGTGTTTCTTCCAATGTTCTAATGTCCCATGGGGGGGGGGTAATCTAAGGTGATGAAGTCTGGGACAGGAACGCAAATTCATACCCAACCCAGTGTCATCCAAGGCACAAGGCTTCCTTCAGCGTAGCAGACTGGAAACTCCCTGAGATCAAGGACCCTGCAGCAATCCCCTGCAACCCATACTGGCTATCCACCCAACAGCCAACTGCCCCTTTCTAACCATGCCAGCGAAAGCAACTGCTTTTCCCTCTATTACAAGTTATCAGCAAACAAATGTTTATAGCTTAATGCTTAAACTTTACTTTGGTAGGTAGGGCCATAAATTTTTCTAAGGCCTTAATGTTTAAAATTTACTTGGGCAGAATAAATGTACTTCTATTAAGGTAGCAAGTTTCTAACAGTACAGTCTCATTCTGGAGATTTGAGAGAGAGAGAGAGAGAGAAAATTGGAGCTGCTGCCCAAAGTACTGAATCAGCTCTTGAAGTTGTCATCGCCACCAGAGCTTCCTTAAAGAATATTCCATACGTTATCTGCAACTTACAGGTGCCAAATCATTTCTCAAGCTCAGTCTCGACAGCCGGAGACTGACCAAGAGGTATCGAACGCTATGGATCTAGCACTCTAGGACCCCCGACGTTCAAGGCCAGGCTTTCCCAATGCTGTTTGTGTGACCTTGGACAATTCAATTAGCCAAATAACTCTCGTTTTCCTCTACTGTAAACTAGGAAGGGAAATACCTGTCCCACCTGCCCCGCTGCGTCGCTGCTGTCATTAAGTGGCGGGGCCGCTCACTCGCCGTCCGGCTGCCCACGCACCGCCCAGGTCCAGCCCGGGACAGAAGGCGCGGGCGTCCCCGCGGCGCTCGGGCAAGGATGCTCCCCTCACCATCCCTCCTGCTGGGACGGCGGCGCCTCGCGCTCCGACACTCACCGCCGCGGCGGCGCCCGCCCGCTCCCGGACACCTGCCCCGCGCGCTCGGCCCGTCCCCTGGAGGCTCCGGGTTCGCCGGCGACGCCTGCCCCGCGGGGCGCCCCTCCCGCTCCCCGGCGGAGCGCGGACCCCCAGCTCGCCGGGGCTGCGCCCGCCTCGCCCCCGGGCGCCTGCAGCTCCGCTGGGGCTGGGGCCAGGCCGCGGCCGGCCTCGACAGGCCTCGCCCCCAGAGCCTGGCCTCCGGGTCTCCCTAGGCCCGGCGGGGCAGGGTGGGCGCGAGCCTGCGACTCCTTACCCGGGAGCTTGAGCGCCCTGGACAGCACGGTCGCCATGGTGGAGGCCCCGGTGCGCGTGCGCGCGCCCGCGTCCTGCCGGGAAGTGTAGTCCGCAGCGCGCGGCGCGCGGGGCTGCGACCTGGGAAGGTGGGACCCGCCGGGGCGCGCAGCCGGGGGGAGGCGACCTGCCGCAGGAGCCACGCCCACGTGCGCGCGCCGCGGCCTCTTCTGCCCTAACCTGGCCCTGGCAAGTCACATCGCCAGTGAGTCTCGCTTGCCTCATCAGCCAAATAAGGGAGATGCTATCTACCGCCGCAGACTTGCAGTGAAAAATGGAATGAGATATTTAAGGGGGCGGGTTGTGAAATGCGCGTGGGCTCTGAAACCAGACTGGATTAGAATCCTGCCTGCATCACTTACTAGCTGGCCCAGCTTTGAGCAAGTTACTTGGTGTGTCTAAGCTTCAGATTTTTTTTTAGAAACAGAGTCTTGCTCTGTCACCCAGCCTAGAGTGCAGACGCTTCATCATAGCTCACTGCAGCCTCCAACTCCTGGGCTCGAGTGATCCTCCTGCCTTGGCCTCCCAAGTAAGGTGGGACTACAGATGCATGTCACCAAACCCAGCTAATTTTTTTTATTTTTTGTACAGACGAGGTCTCCCTATGTTGTCCAAGCTGGTCTCCAGCTCTAGCCTCAAGCGATCCTTTCGCCTTGGCTTCCCAAAGTGCTGGGATGACAGACATTAGCCACTACCCAGAGGCCTCAGCTGCTTCTTCTTTCTTTTTTTTTTTTGATACAGAGTCTCACTTTCTTGCCCAGGCTAGAGTGAATGCCGCCGTGGCGTCAGCCTAGCTCACAGCAACCTCAAACTCCTGGGCTCAAGCGATCCTTCTGCCTCAGCCTCTAAAGTAGCTGGGACTACAGGAATGCACCACCATGCCCGGCTAATTTTTCTATTTTTAGTAGAGACTGGGGTCCTACTCTTGCTCAGTCTGGTCTCGAACTCCTGACCTTGAGCGCCAGCCTCAGCCTCCCAGAGTGCTAGGATTACAGGCATGAGCCACCGCCCCCGGCCAATAAGAACTTCAGCTTCTTTTTGGAACTGGAGACAATACTACCTACTTCACGAGCTTGCTGTAAGAACTAACTTATATGATCTGTTTAAAACTCGGCACACAGTGGGCACCGTTTGTTATGTACAGGCTGAAATTTCTTTTCTTGCTCCCTGTTCTTTCTAGGTGTCTGCTCAGCACCCTACCCGGCAACTACTAACTTGAAGGATCTAGGAAGCAGGAACTGACTTGTTTCTTCCCCACTGTCACCAAGAGATCAGCATCTTAGTGCAGGAATGCTAAAGATGTTGTATCGTCTTAGAACTGGAACAGATACCAAAGGCTATCTAGTTCCATTCTCCTTATTGTATTGAAGAGAAAACTGAGATCAGAAAGGTGACACGCTTTCTTAGTGTCAGCACAAAAGTTCCAACATACCTCTCACTGCAGATAGGATTGTCCTGTGGGAGTAATCTGAGAGACTGTAGCAACCAGCCCCACCTCCCTTTTTCCCACAGAAAAAATGTCAACAACTCTGACAGAGCACTGGCTCTGGAGCCAGGAGCCAGACATCATGAGTTCAAATACTGACTCCATTATTTCCCAGCTGCCAGACCAAGACGCTGGTGACTTAATCTCTCCCTGCCTCAATTTCCTCATCTGCACAATGGGGATAAAACATTTACTATTCCACAGAGTTGTCATGAGAATTAAATGTATACATAGAAAGCACTTAGAACAGTGCTTGGCACCTAGTGTTTTATGAGTTTTCACATTTCTTGTTATTAATAATTTATTAATGTTTTAACAATTTCAAATTTTTAACTTAGTAACGAATAATAATACATTTAGCAATAATTTCATGATTTAGTAATTAATTAATTAATTAATTCTTTCGGCATTCTACAATACCCAAACTGTTTGCCACGTCCCTGGAGGCTTGATTAAAAACCATACTTTACATCTATATAGGTCATCTAGAAGGAACACTACAAGTCACAATGAGCCAGTAGTAGCCTGCCTGATACCAGATTAGCTAAATGGAGCTCATTGTTGAGACATGAAGACTAAGAAAAATAACCTCTAAGTGAGACAATGATGTAGAAAACGTCCATTTTACTTGCAGAACAACAGGGTCTTGAGTTTCGGAGAGAAGGTCCGGGTAGACTAGAACAGCCAGGTCACATGGGGTAGGAAAGGAGAGAAATCTGGCTGCTTTTCTTAGCAAAAAATTATATTCCAGGAGAGTCCCTTCTTCTGTGATTGTAGTAAAATAAAATTGTATAATTGAAAGTTTGATTAAAAACTACTTCCAACTGTATAGTTGCGGAAACTGCCTGTGTGCATACACACACGCATGTGTGTACACATAAATAAACGCGTGTCAGCGTATGCACATGTGTAGATGGCATCTGTGGCCCCTCAGACCTCAATGCTTGATCTTCATGGCCTTTCCTCTCTCCCTGTGCTCAGGGCTATCTCTGCTGCCTCTCAAAAACTGCTACTACTTACTGTATCTCCCATAGTCAATGCCACCTTGTATCTTAGTGTTGTTAAAATGCCAAAGCTGGCCTGGAGCGGTGGCTCATGCCTATAATCCTAGCACTCTGGGAGGCCGAGGTGGGCGGATTATTTGAGCTCAGGAGTTTGAGACCACCCTGAGCAAGAGTGAGACCCTGTCTCTACCAAAAATAGAAAAAAATTAGCTGGGCACAGTGGTGCATGCCTATAGTCCCAACTACTTGGGAGGCTGAGGCAGAAGGATCCCTTGAGGCCAGGAATTTGAGGTTGCTGTGAGCTAGGCAGATGCCACAGCATTCTAGCTGGGGCAACAGAGTGAGAGTCTGTCTAAATATATAAATAAAATGTCAAAGCTGGCCAGGCGTGGTGGCTCACGCCTGTAATCCTAGCACTCTGGGAGGCCGAGGCGGGCGGATTGCTCAAGGTCAGGAGTTCGAAACCACCCTGAGCAAGAGCGAGACTCTGTCTCTACTATAAATAGAAAGAAATTAATTGGCCAACTAATATATATAGAAAAAATTAGCCGGGCATGGTGGCACATGCCTGTAGTCCCAGCTACTCGGGAGGCTGAGGCAGCAGGATTGCTTGAGCCCAGGAGTTTGAGGTTGCTGTGAGCTAGGCTGACGCCACGGCGGCACTCACTCTAGCCTGGGCAACAAAGCGAGACTCTGTCTCAAAAAAAAAAAAAAAAAAAAAAAAAATGTCAAAGCTGTGCAATGCAATGGAAACTTGGGAAGATTGCCTCCCTCTTCTTTCTGTGTCACAATTTATTAGAAAATTACCTATGCTGCCTATTCCTCAAGGTCAAATGAAGTATTTTCATTAGACAGAGCTTCTACTTTTACTTAGTGAGTCAATCAGGGCAAGGTCATTGCTATAACAAACAACCTCAAAATTTCAGTGATTTTAGAGAGGGATAGCTTATTTCTGCTGTGTCACAGTCAGGGTGGGTGTGCAGGTAGGCTGCGCTGGGGTCCAAAACCGTGCCTTCTCTTGTGGATGGTAAGTGCCCAGTGAATGGGGGCTGTCACCATCCACATTGCTATTACAGGTGCTCTATTCCTCCCAGCCATTCAGGGACCCAGGTTACTCCTTTCTAGGGCTTCTTCATCCTTGGGGCCTTGGAGTCCTCCCCCCGCATCATTTGCATCCCAGATCATGCAGGAAGTTTTATGAGCCAGCCCTAGAGTTTTACGCACATTGAGTTTGTTAGAACTCAGACATAGAATGTGTATGTCAAGGTGTGAGCCCAGAAAGAAAAGGAAATGAGTTTGGGGAAGGTCTGGCCAATCTCTGCTATGCTAGTCACCCCGTGCCTTTATAATTACAGACCTGCATTCTTGATGGTGGGGAGAGAGGTTAGGCACTGCTCTCTTAGAATTGCCTTTCTCCTCTAGGAACAAAAGCTTTGTTCCTGAATTGAGCTTCTTGTCCTGACTTAGGGCCTTTCCACTGTGTTTAAGGTAAAGTTCCACCCCCCCCCAAGGCTCCTCACTCCCTCCTCAGATGGATTTCTGGAGGCCGTTCCTACATCTGTCAGCAAAGTGTGGACAAGTCTGAACTAGCTGGTGGACCTATCTCAAGCTCAGAGTAGTACCCTCCGCTACAGTGGTGCCAACGAGATAGGATCAGGTAGCAGTAATAAGTATGAGATTTGAAAAGCAAAAAGAAAATATTGTAGCAAATAACAAGAACAGTGAGATTGAGAAAAGCAAAAGAGGTGCCCAGCAAAGAATATTTAGGGGTTAAATGCAAATGTCTAGGAGCCTGTGAAATCAATCTTGCATTTGGATCAGGACGTTCCAGAAGGGTGTGCACCAGTGGTATATTCACTTCCCAACGCTGACCAGGGGTTTGCATGACTTTGTCTTGCAGACAAACAGGTTCATCTTTCCCCAGAGTGTCATGTGGGGAAAGATAAAGTCACAAGTGCTCATCCAGCTCAGATTCACACAGGCTTCCAGCCTACAAAACTTTATAGAGTCTAGAGTATAAAATGCTTTCTGGGCCCTGAGAGTGAAACAAAGGCTTCTTAACAAGTCTCTGGCTGGAACATGTGTTTGAGAACAACAGTTCTCAATAATTAAGGACAGACCCTGCCAGGCCAGCTGAGCTCCCCTTCCTCTTGGCCCTCATCCTAGCTTGTTCATAAGTTGGCTGGAGCACCTGTAATAGCAATGTGGATGGTGACAGCCCCCTTCACTGGGCACTTACCATCCACAAGAAAAGGCACGGTTTTGGTCCCTTGCTAATCTTGATCCAAAACTCAGCCCCTCCGCCAGCTTCCAAAAAAAAATCCAATGGACCAAGCCTATTGTGACTTGGGTAGTTTTCTTGAAGATTCAGGTGTCAGGAGTTTCACCAAAACAGAAAATTCTGTTAGATGCATCTCTTCTCCCAGATTTCTGCTTCTGGCCCCATCACTGTGTCATCCCCACTACTATGACCCGCTTGGGTCTGTTCCTCTCCTAGGCTTTCTCCTGCTCCCTTCTTCCCTGCCCTCCGCTGCCTTCAGCTGTGATGTGAGCTGGAGTCTGACCTCCATCCTAC